AGAAATATATCTGAAGAGCACAGGATGATTGCTCTCTGAAAGTCAATAGCAATGCTCCCCTCGTGGGCAGCATCAGTCAGGTTTTAGCAGACCACTGACTAAAGCCCGAAATTAATTTTGTCCTGTTTCATCTAGTCAGCTTTAAATAAAAATACATGCAAATGACTACTGACTTTTGGCAGATGCAGAGAAGGACAGGATGAAGCAGACAATTAGCTGCAATCCACAACACTGAAAATATATATATTTACACTTGAAATCGGTGGCTTGCTTGCACTTTCCACTGGTAATTATACAACATTGGCTCCTCTTCTGCAGTTCAGGTTGGATACGCTGCGGATGAAAAATGCCTTGTGTGGGTGGCAAAGCATGACAAGGGCATGGGCAGGGACCTTGTAATTCCTGTATTTCCATTGTTGATTAGGTCTGTTCTGAATCATTCCCGTCTCCAAATTGGCTGCCTACAGATGTATAACGCTATCACACTAATCATGCCAGCCATCTGACATGGATGGAGGGATGGATGGATGGGTTGACATCAGCATGACAAAAGTGATGCTGTTTGCAATATAACCTCAGCAAAAAGAACAAAGTGAACTGAAAAATACCTTGTCCATTGAATCGGGCAGAAAATAGAAAAAAATGCAAGATTGGAGCTCATGTACTCCACCAAGTCCTGAATCCTGGTCTGTGGCATAGAGTTACATCTTTATTAGCAAATGAAGCACTGCCAGGATCCATTCTGGTCATGAAGCCAACTGACAAGTGCTGTATCTTTCACCCCTGATACAGAGCGGCTGCATCCAAACTGCCGATTGGGGATGGTCTCTGGCCAGGATCAACGCCTGTGCAAGCTATGCCCGAGCCAAGGGCTTGTTGGAGTGGGTCTAAACCATGCCAGGGAAGGTTTGAACAACATAACAGTGAGCATGGTGGAGCCCTCGTGCCCTGGCTTTGCCCTGGCACAGCATAGTTGGCTGGTTTAGATGATCCCAGGGTGAATCCAGCAGCACAAACGTGCCAGAGAAGTTGCCCACTGATCTTGTGATGTGAATAAATATGGACTCAACCTTCTCCATGACAGTTTGAAAAAACCCTCATGCAGTATCCTCTGGCAAGAAGGTAGGACATGGTATGACTAAGCTACCAGGGAGAAGCTGAGGAGTTAAAAACCAAGTGAAACCAAAACAAGTCACTGACCATCCTGCCAAAGTGCACACCAAAAATCAAAGAGACCCTGGGCAAAAAAAACCCAGGAGGCGAGGATAGATTCTTAGCACTGGGATTAGTACCAAAAAAGAGCTGGGGGTAATTTTCTTCCCCGAGCTTTTGGCTTGGCAAAAGGCGCTGTTTGGCAACAAGATCACAGATAATCCCAAGAGGAAATGGTCACCACACCAAACTGTCCACCATGAACTCGCTGGGTGTAGTGGCAGAGCACGTGCTTTATGTTAAGGCTGTAATGAAGTCCTTCAAAGAGAAATAGTTCTTCAGGGCTGACACAGGCTCTCACTGGAAATCTTTTGCTAAATCAAGATGCCAGTGGATATCATTCAAAGAAAGGACTAATAGCGGAGGCAGAAAGTTTATGCAACTAAGCGTAATGAAACAGTCTTAACAAGCAGTGGAGGCACCTGCCTTCATTGTTATCCATACCACGAGCCACGAAGAAGGAGGACTTTGGAACAGGGGTGTGTCAAGCCCTTAGTCAAGCTGGTTTGGCTGTGAGAAATTAGCACTGCATTGAGAGGTAAGGTCACTTCTAGAGTGTTTTGCCCCTCCACTCCCATAATGGGATGGAGAGGACGGCTGTTGGTGTGTTGGTGTGGCGGTCTGGAGCAAGAGTCCCGTTCCTGAGGGAAGGCAGGCTGCAGATGCTCATGAGAGGCAACACTGAAGGGTCTCCTCCTCGACTCCTGATGAGTGTGCCTCGGCTCGTTGCCTCATTTCAGCGTCCTGGTGCAAAGCGGCAGAGTCCAGCTGTTCAGTGGGGCCAGGGAGTGGGATCACATCTCCAAACCAGACCTCAGGATTGACAAGTTCAGGGAGGGGAACCTTCTCATGGTGCTTTTGAAAATGAGGATGCTATCTCCTGGAGGAAAGGTCCCCGAGGAACAGCAGGGTTGTTTGTCATCCACTCCTTTCTCATGCTTTTGCCAATGAAATGCAGATGTGTAGAGGAGAGCTCTGCACGGAAGGACGAAGGAGAGTCTTTACACAGGGCATGAGTCTCAGGGAACTGGATCAGAGTAAGTAAGTCTACACTAGTATTAAAGGTAAGTCAAAAGAAAGTCCTGGGAGGAGAAATGCAGGCCTGTTGCTGGAGGATGGGCACCTCTGTGTTTTTATGACTCAGTAGCTGGGGACAGCAAGTTCACTTCACAAATTACCTCTTTTTATGGAGACAGCATACTGATTAGGGAAGAAACAGGGTGAAATGTTAGTAGGACACTTGGGAAGCGGCTGGTTATGGGACACAGACAATGGAGAAAGGAAATGAAAGCTTTTCACAAATATATATATGCGTGTATATATATGTATTTATGCGCACAGTAAACAAGGGAGTGGGAATTTAGATAGGGGATGACAAGACAAAATCCCTCCCTTTGCATGAAAATGTGACCATCACATTGGTTGTAATCAGAGCCCAGAAACATTTGCCTGAAATGGAGTTTGACTGGGAGTTACAGTACCAGTGACAATTTGGCTTCTTATAAACTTTGCCGTGTGTCTATAGTTTGGCGTGAATGAGTCCTGCCCTCCTTGAAAGGGACAGACACCAGTTAAAAGTTTTCTTTACAAAACAAAATGAAACAACTGAAGAAACCCCAACATTTTCTCAGAACACTGCAAAGGATCACTGATTGAAAAAAATGTTTCTCTTCAGGTATATTCAGGCGAAGAAAGCATTCAGCTTCTTTAAACTGTTATATAAAATTGGTACTAGTTTCGTTTAAATACTATTATAATTAAAAAAACCCAACTGATTCCTCAAATTAAAAAAAAATCATAATCATAATTAAAAAATATCCCCCCCATGCTGATCTTCTCTTCAGAATAGGTCAGCATGGGAGTTTTGCACCCTAGACAGTTACAGTATTTCTGGAATAAAAAATTGCAAGTACACACAGAAAATACTACAGCATTCACTTAAAAATATCTCATTTTGTTGTTGTTGTTTTTCCCCTCCCAAGTAGAGGGATGGTGGGATTGAAAAGATGCCCTGAAACGGGAATATGCCTTTAAAGGAGCAATACTCTCGAAACGGAAAAGGGTGTTGGATAGACGCAAACCCGTGATTTAACTCGAAACAAGAGATTCCAGCACAGAAACAGAATTCGAGAGATGTGAATGTTCAGACACCGAGCGGCTTATTTGGAAACGTCAAGACAACCACACAACCCTCGGCAGGTGACCGTCTAGGCTTTGCCATCATCGGAGGTGGCAGCATCTCCTTGCGGTGAGAAGACTAAGCTAAACCACGATGCTCTCGCTACACTCTTGAATTTCCTCTGGTGTTGTTTCTCGCCATGTACTTACAGTAGAGGGTGACACGAGACAGTTTTTATCAGCAGTTCCCCACATGTACCGAGTTGAAGAATTCTCAGCTAAATCACAACAACAACATCAACAAAAATACAAAGCACCAAATCATCTCAAGACGTGAGTCAGTTTACAGGTTATTACCGTTTGAAGAAGTTTGTTGGTTGTTTTGTTGTTGTTTGTTTTTTTTTTTTATCCCGATTTTCATGTTTTGTTTTCCTTAAAAACAAAACAAACCAAACCAAAACAAAAATCAAAACCCAAAACCCCCAAAATGGAACGAAGGATGCTTTACAATCACTTTAAGGCTCGCACTGAATGAGACATGACAGGTCTTACACGAGATTACAAATAATACATGTATGCCTTAAAATGATACAGTAGGTCAAATTATTTTGCCAGTCACTGATCAAGTATTGTGCCTTTAAATTGACTCGCTTTTTGCTACTATGCTGAGTTTTATTATTACTGAAATAGTTATTAGATATGTGTAAATGTACTTTAGTGTAATGTTTTTGGTATACAATTTCAGTGTTTGCAGATCTCTTATTTTCCAGAAATCAAGGTGGCAGGCCTTATTCTGGTCTCAGACGGTTGTTATTTGCTCCACTGAAGTCAGTGGCGCTTTAGCATGTGCAATTGTTCGAAACAAGATCAGATACTGTATTACCATATTAATCTGGTGCAAACCGACCATTACGCATGGCCCATTTACACGAGGAAAACAGTTGCATGGTGGGATCGCGTTTATAACATGACTCGGTCAAGGCTCGCAGGCTTGGCCAAATGGTGTTATAAATGCATTGCCAAATTGAGTTACAGACCTGATTTTGTCTTTCAACTGTTGGAAGAATCAAACTCCATTGGGGTTGTCTTGGCTTTGCTTTCTTATCTTTAGACATTTGGGTTTTTTCTGCTAAATCCAATAAGAGCAACAAGATTTTTTTTCATACATTTCTCTCTTTTTGTTGTTGTTGTTCTTTTTTTTTTTTTTTTATTTTAAGGTTTGTATTTCAGTTGGTTGTTTTTTTTTCCTGGCATATAATCATCAAAGACTTTTGCATGAGAAAGGTGACAGTACTTAATGAAACTCAGCACCTAAGGGCATAAGGCAGTTGTAGGTTTGTTTGTTTGTTTTTTTATTTTTCAATCAGCACCAATCCCATAAATAATGTTCTACACTTGGTGTACGGTATAAAACTGATGTGGAGATGCCTCCTTCTCCACCTGTGAATCCTAGGTGTGGAAGTTGAAATACTGTTTCTTGTGTGTAAAAAACAAAAGAAAAGTTTTTCTTTTTGTTTTTACTTACAAAACATAGAGAATATCTTTTTTTTTTTTTTATACATACAGCAACCAGAAAGAAAGCTTATCTGAAGGTTTGTGTTTGTTTCATGATCTGTGTTTACCGTAAACAAAAATAAGGTCCCCTCTTTTACTTTTGCTTTAAGGAGCTTTTAAAGTGAAGATTCATATTGTAGCAACTCATATAAGAGAGGTCCATCTCTATACCTAATACCTACAGCTGTGGGGGTGACATACTGGAGGATGTTGATAGTTCTTCTTAACCTCCTGTCTACAAAATGAGCATCCCATGCAGGATATCTTTTTCTTGGGATGTCAATCTTAATGAGAGGCCCCTCGGGGGGGTAGGGTCGCCCAGATGGAGTAGATGGTACCATTGCTCTCACCTGGAAAACGGGCAAGCAAGTGTCAGCTGTGAGTTCCTCCTGTTGCTCCGTGACCGCTCTGGTGGGCGTAGCCTGGGCCCCCCGGTACCCAGGGGTTTGGGGTGCCATGGGCTCAACATCGGGGGGCAAAGGAATGCCCCAGAGCAGCTCGGCGCAACAGGAGCTGACAAGGATCTTAGCTCTTGGCCCCGTGGGATGCAGCACACCATAATATAACAGCATCAAAGCTATCCCAGCAGCAAAGCTAAGAAAGACACAACACAGTGCTGGCACGGCATATGAGTCAGTAGTGTCAGGATCTCTGTAAAAATACCAAAGGAGTGTCAAGGTAGCGTTCTCCGTCAGGACTACCGTGTAATACGCAAACATTCTGTATCGAGTCCGCCCTTCCTTGACATTAAACCAGCAGAAAATGTACACAATCCCTACCACCATGTTGAAGAGGATCTCCTCCCACTTAGACATGCAGAAATCTGTCCCACCATGGATGATCCAGAAAGCCATGGCACACCAATGGACCACTACAAAGATCCCAAAGTAGAGCTGGAAGATGGAAGCAAAGAGAGCAAAAGAAATAACTCGGGATGAGATGGTGAAGAGGCGCCAGAAGACATGGATGAGGGCCCCTCTGTAGCTCATACTCTTCTTGTCGTCCCTAGAGTCCCGAAGAAGCTTGTGATAGGAGGCTAGCACCCAAGCCAGGGACATCAGGGAGGCCACAGAGGACACACCTGCCGGAAGACACACAGATCCACTGAGTTAGACAGGAGGTTTGGTTGAAAACATCATCTGCTCACTAAATTATTGCATCTGGGGCAGGCTCAGTAGCCCAAAGGTTCAACTCACGTCAGGTTGTCCTTACAGTCTAGAGGAGAGAAATACAGAAATATCAGTGTGGGAATCGGAAACGATGCTGTATTCAGGAGTTCTCTGACACAGCACATGATGTTTATTATATTCCTGAGCCGTTGGCTCTGCCACCCCACCCCAGCTCTTCTCTTCTTACAGGGAACAGCCTCTGTCCTCATCCTGATTAGATCCACATTTGAGAATTTAAAATCCAGCGCCCATCTAAACGCTGCAGCCAGCCCAAGTATGAAGGTTACTTTCTGTAGAAAGGGGTCTATCCTGGAGTGCACCATCGCAAGAGCAGGACATCTATATTCCTTGTAACTGCATGGATCTCTTTTATTCTCAAATACTTCCATACAAGCAACATTCACATTGACTTGTACTTGATTCTGCCTTAATCAGGAATCCCTGTTTGTATTCCCCTTTGGGAATAATAGGCCATTGGCCAGTTCTATTGTCACCCTGTGGTCCCATGCAGATGAGTTTATACATGCAGGGAACATGAAGACTCATCAATACCCTCCAAATGGTCCCAAAACAAAGAACCTGATCCCTCCAGCAACTCCTCTGTCCTGTTTCCAGGATGGACTGAAGACCTATATTGGAGTTAGCTTATCTCCAGCCTTGTCTTCTGGATGGACCACAGATCCAAGTCACAGTCGTGTCTCCAGCCCTGCCTCCAGCCCTGTCTCGTTCTGCTCCTGGTGGGATCCCCTGGAGGGACCTCGGATCTGGTCCATCCCCTTGCCTTGTCTGGGACTGCGGAGGGAGTCATTACCAACATGCAGCTCTGCCCCATGCACTCATACCCTGCGGTCCTGCTCCCACCAGTGAGGACATTGCCTGCCCTGGGGTCACCCTTGTTTTCCAACTCATCCCCCTGCACCCTGGCATGGGGCAGGCACCCCGTGATATTCCAAAGGGGTTTGATCTTATTCCCCCTTACAACCAACACTTAAACTATTTGCTCCAATGGCTAAAATAGTGCCCCATCACACTTCAGGAGCTTTTAAAAATACAATACCATTGATTATCGCAAGGGTAAATTGAATAACTCATTGAGCAAAGCATCATAATAAAAATTAATTGACAGATTCCTGGGAAAAGAAAAGGCCACTGGCATCTCATTCCTTTGCTCCCACTGCTGCTCACTGGACAACTGCTCTGCAGGTGAGGGAACAGGCAGTGGACTAAGATCCATGATGGGAAGCTAAATAACTTGGTAGCTAGACTTTGACTGGACCTTTGCCAAAGATTTATCTGGGAGCATCACCTATAAAATCTAAAGGAAAAATGCTAGTGGTTTCAAACAAAACAAACAATAACAAATGCCCCTCCATCTCTGATGTTTAACGTAGTGGAAAATAGGTCCAGCTTTTTTTTGCTTTTACTACTTTAAGAAAACCCAAGCAGCAGCTTGCTGCAGCTGCTCAGGATTAAAAAGCTAAAATGTCTGAAAACTTTAAATTTCTTCTTCTCCTATCTTGTTCTCTCTTTTCCCTCTGCCCACAAGGACGTGGCTCCCATGGGGACAGGAGGAAGATCCACTGGCTCTTTATCTTTATCTAAAGACGACTTTGTTGTCTTCTCTCTGAGGAACCTACCCCACAGTGTGGTGGGATTAGATTTGCCCCCTTCCAGCCTAGCTATGTCTGGAGGAGAGGTGATGGAGAAGGTGTCCAAGAAGACAGGGCAGACGTCCACCTCTGCCCCTCACTGAAATTCTCCCAGCCTGTAGGTCCACCAAAACTATGCCTTTCCACCAGCTCTCAAGTCTCTCTCTGAATACCTTGGCTTTGGGCTCATGCATGCACTAGCATTTCAGACTGAATTTAAAAAAAACAACAAACCACAAACCAGTAAGATCAGGGACCTTATCAAAGCTTTAGGCCACCATCTTTGAGAAAACCACATTTTTACCCAAATTCTAAGTCCTCAACTGTTGATAAGAAACACTTGCATATAGGACCTGGGGACCCTAATGGATGGAAACTTCTGAAAGTGAATAGCCTCAGCCCCACACAGATGTAGATTAGATTTATTTTTAACCTACCAGATGTGTTACATTTTTGGTAGACATAATTAACAGTTTTGGAAGGCTGAGCAATGCCACACAATTCCTAAGGTAAGTGCTGCTATGTGTATAAGTACTGCTTGTTGCAGTATCTTCTAACTATTCAGTTTAAAAACTTTCCATGGTTAGCAGAAAAAAAAAAAAAGGCATGTATTGTCTTATTTTAGTGCTGTTATACTAGAAAATTGTACGGCATTAGATGTACCTGTATACTGAAACTCAAGTAGCGCCAACCCACAAGAGACAGATGTGTCACACTGGCTTTAAAATGTTTCTGTTGGGTTCATTTATTCTGGAATAGAGAGAGGAATAAAATACACCAGAAACAAAAACCCAGTATACACATAAAGGCTTTTCCCACTGTAATGTTTTCAGTTCAGAAACCTACACTAATCACAGTCTTTGCTGTAAATTGCACAGAGCTGGCTGAGAGTATGTGTGCTGAGTCACTCATGTTGCACGGTACCATGCCTGGTGATAGTCATCTGAATGTCTCCTCGAGTCAACAGAGAGAGGCAGACACCCCCAGAAAGTGATTCACCCTGTCCTAAGATCCATGTGTGGGACAAGGGGGGTTGACTCATGCTCCCAAAGTGTCTGTCTCCATCCCTTGACAGGGGAGTGTGGGGACTTGCGAACACCAGCAGTCAGGCAGGATGAGTCCTACCCTTACAAAAAAGTTCATTGCCTCCTCATTTGCACTAAGATCTGAGGGGGGGAATGAAATAGCTCTAGACATTTTGAC